ACACCACTATCAAATACATAGAGGCCATTATTGATGACTTCTTCTGAGGAAGGGACCAGGATAAAAGGAAATATCATTTGGCTTCACTGTACACTATGAGTTTACCTTGTCCAGAAGGAGGGGTGGGGATGAGAAGACTCACTGATATATGCATTGCTTTGCAATACAAACAATGGTGGACTTTCAGATCAAAAACCTCTTTATGGAGTCAATTTCCTAAATCCAAATATTGTCAAAGAGCTCATCCAGTTGCAAAAAAAGTGGACAATGGACAATCTTTGATGTGGAAGTACATGATGAGGAACAAGCTTAAAGTAGAAGAGAATATAGGTTGGACAATCAAGTCAGGCAGTTGCTCATTTTGGTGGGATGATTGGTTGGGAGTAGGAGCTCTAGCTCATTAAATACTGATTTTCATTTTGTGTAGGGAGTTCCAGACAGTGCTGTTTGGAAACATACTGAATCAGAAAAATTCACCTGTACATCAGCCTGGGAAATTTGCAGAAATAAGAATATTACAGATCTTAATTCTCAAATTTGGCATATACATATTCCTTTCAAAATGTCTTTTCTACTTTGGAGGGCCTTGAGGAAAAAACTTCCAACTAATGAGAAACTAGGGACCTTTGGAGTGGAACCTGTGAGATGTTCTTGTTGTTATCAACAAGGATGGGATGAAGTGGATCATATATTCATACAGGGGCATTTTGCAGCACACATATGGAAATTTTTTTCAAGTTCTTTGGGTGTTAATGTACAACAGACATCCCTGAGTAGCTATCTCTTAAATTGGCGTGGTAGTCATGCTAAAAATAAAGCTCATAAGACTATTATTCAGACTCTTCCTATAGTTATATGTTGGAATCTATGGAAGAATAGGTGTTCAGCTAAGTATGGGGGCAAGACTTCTAGTATTAGCAGGGTTAAATATTTGATTATTAAAGATATATTTCAGATACTCAGAACTATATTTCCTTATATTAAGTGGCCAGTTCAGTGGTCAGATGTTGTATCTATGGTAGAACATGGTAAACATGAGGTTCGTATCCTCTCAGTAAGGTGGATACCTCCTCCTAATTCTACTTATAAACTGAATACGGATGGTAGTGCTTTGAATAATCCGGGGAAAATTGGAGGTGGTGGTATTCTGAGGGATTCCAATGGTACTATTGTTTATGCATTTGCTATACCATTGGGCGAAGGGTCCAATAATCAGGCAGAGGTACAGGCTGCCAGTTATGGACTCAATTGGTGCATCCAACATGGGTGTCAAAACATCATTTTAGAAGTGGATTCTGAATTACTAACCAAATGGTTTTTGTAGATTTCTGATCCTCCTTGGAGGCTTAACAGGTTTGTGCAGGAACTACAAGACATTGCTAAACAATGTGCTTATGTTCACTGTGTTCATACATACAGAGAAGACAATAGTACAGCAGAATTATTGTCCAAATAAAGTCACCAGCATGATATCATCCAACATTATTACACCCCCAACCAGTTACCAAAAGCAGTTAGAGGAAGTTATATTCTGGAGGAAATGGGAATACAGAGTTTCAGAAGGAAAAAACTGCGAAGGATTAAATTTCCTCTTTGATTGATATTTTAAAGAAAAAACACTCCCTCGATTTTCTGTTTCTATCTTTAGCTTAATTATTAACTTAGTTTGGTTGTTTGATTAGGAACAGGAGATTCTGGTGGTGGTGGAAATTCTACTGAGGCATACAGTATAACAGGATGCATGCTATCTTGTTTAAATAACTTTCAACCATCTACTACTCGGTAATCGAAACCAAGTTCCAAAAGAAGGAATTCTGCAACTAAGGGACTTGTATACGGTGGTTATCTTATAGCAAGAGCTGCAACTTGCAGAAGTAGAAAGCATATTATTACTACACTTATTACATTTGGATTCTTGTGATACATTCTTTTCAAATAAGCTATATAGTTAAATATAGCTTCTTGATTAGGCCTAGTTTTAATTTCTCTCCTTGTAAGGGGAGAGTCTCCCTTATTTATGTATTATTAGTAACTTTGTATTAAGAGAGGAGTCCTCTCTAGGTGCTTAGTTTAATATTACATCTCATTGTATAAGGTTGAGTCGACTAACCTTAGTAAGTAGGTTGACTCTTGACCCACCTTAGGACTGGAGGTAAGGTCAATGTCCCCCTCCTTGTATAATTGAATTTTATATATGATAAGGCCTGGGGGTGTTGCTCAGCTCCTGACCCCCTCAAGGGTCGTTCTACTAAAAAAACCCCAAAACCTAAAACCTAAATCCTAAATCCTAAATCCTTAACCATAAACTCTAAACCCTAAACTAAACCATAACCCTAAACCTAAACTATAAAACCCTTAACCCTAAATCCTAAACCCTAAACATTAAATCCAAACTCTAAACCCTAAACCCTAAACCCTAAACACTAAACCTTAACCCTAAACCCTAAATCCTAAATCCTAACCATAAATCCTAAACCCTAAACATAAACCCTAAACCCTAAACCCTAAACCCTAAACCCTAAACCCTAAGCCCTAAATCCTAAATCCTAAACTCTAAATGTTAAACCTAAACCCTAAACCCTTGAACCTAACCCTAACCCTTGACTCCAAATCGAAACTCTAAATGATGCAATACGGATTTCATCAAGACCATTTACTTGAAGCCAAGCTCAAGACCTTCAAAGGATGCAAGGTTTATTTATGAAGATGGGGGTGCTCTAGATGGTGTTGATGACAAGCAAGGACTTTCATGCTTTGAAGATTGCAGAAAAAGGCACTTTTGGTGAGTAGGGCCCATTTGGCGCATCCCCCAAAAGCTTAGGCGATGGTCCCAGCTCACCTAATGATCCAGAACGTGATCATGTTTGAAGATCAAGTAGAGAAGCTCGCCAACAAGGTCGGTGCATCGCCCAACCCCTTGGCGACCCGACCCAGCTTGCCCATTGTCATTTCGGGTCACTTTTGGGCCCTTTTATCTAAAACATATAAATAGCTAGCTAGGGTTCATTATAGACTTAGACTATTTTGATATTGAGAGCTGAAAATCATGTTGAGTGTTGAGAGATTGGTAAAGGTTTTGTTGAACCTTGTTTAGAAACGTCGGTTGCTCGGGATATTGATTCCTCTGAGGTAGTCGTAAGAGTTAGGTGCTATTGTAAGATTAATCGATTGAGGTCTTTGGGTTTAATATACCCATAGTTTGCCTTTGATTTCCTCTTTGTGTGTCTAATTATTTATCTTTTATTTTCCGTCTTTTCGATTTCTGCATATTATCATTGTTTCTCTCGTGAGAATCGTATCATTAAACCCTAACCCTAAATCCTAAACCCTAAACACTAAACCATAAAACATAACCATACACTTAATCCCTAAACCCTATATCCACACTCTAAACACTAAATCCTAAATCCTAAACCCTAAACACTAAACCCTAATTTACCCTAAGCTTAACTTATCATAAACCTTAAACCCTAGACCTAAACCTTACACCCTAGAACTAACCCTAAACCCTAAATCTAAACCCTCAAATCCTAAACCCTAAATCGTAAACCCTAAACCTAAATGTTAAACCGTAAATCCAAACCCTAAACCCTAAACCTTAAATTGTAAACTCCAACCCTTAACCTAAACCCTAAACCCTAAATTCAAACTCTAAACCCTAAACCATAAACCCTAAACCCTAAATCATAAATTCAAAACCCTAAGGAAAAACAGCAAACAGAGGAAAGAACAGTTAATAATCAGAACAGGGGAGCAATGGAAAAAGATATGGGAAATAAAGCAAATACTAGTAATCAAGGAAATACTCCAAAGAGCAAAAACAAACCTAGCAAGAAAAAGAGAGAAGTAACAAAAGAGAGACAAAACAAACAGCAAGAGAATGAGCAACAAGGGGAACAAAATAATGATGAAGTATGCAAAAAGTTTATTATGGTAGATGATCAACAGGGAATGGATATTACTCCCCTCCAGACTCAGTATATGACTCCTCCTCCTAATGTTCCCCCTGATAAATGGCATAATACATGTCAAACCAACACTGTTCCAGTTATTGATGAATATGTTGTAGATAATTCTGAGGATGAAGTTGATATGGACAACCAGTCTTTACAAGATCCTGATGATGATGATGAGACTTGTGAGGTGTTGATCAAAGCATTTAGTCCTCACAAAAATCAAAGCATAGAGGTTGAAATCCAACAAGTGACTAACAACCAACGTCTATCTTCAAGGGGTTTTCATCATGACAAATTCTATTTCAAGAATCAAGATATCAACAGTGTCACTGCAGGCAGACCAAATACCAGGCTCTTTACTTCCAAATCCTCCAAATGATCAACGTCTATCTCCAAAGGGTTTTCATCATGACAGATTCTATTTCAAGAATCAAGATATCAACACTGTCACTGATCAGTACACTCATTTGGAATGTAAGAGGGATTAACACCCAGGGGGTTATGGAAAGACTTAAAATGCTTAAGAATATGCATCATATTTCTATTATGGCAATCTTGGAACCATTCTCAGATATCATACATGTTCAGACTTTGAAGCATCAACTGGCCATGGACAATGCTATGAGTAATTGCAATGGCAAGATCTGGTTGTTTTGGAATCTGGATGTTGACTGCACTGTGATTGAGGAAGATGAGCAGCATATCACCTGTGAAATTGCTCATAATGAGTTACATACCAAATTCACCAATACCTTTGTCCATGCCAAATGTAAGGACCATCTTAGAAAACCCCTCTGGGATAGAATGTTGTACCATGCTACTGCTAAATCCAACTCCCCTTGGTGTACTGTGGGGGACTTTAATGTTATTACCTCCACTGATGAGAAGCTGGGAGGGGTGCGTCACAATATGAGAAAAAGTCTGGAATTCATTGCAGTGATTGAAGCTTGTGGCCTGATGGACCTTGGCTTTAGTGGACAGAAATTCACATGGTCCAACAACAGGGGTATACACAATAGGGTGTAGAAGAGACTTGACAGGGCTATGGTAAATGATTCTTGGCTGGAATATATGCCTCAAACCACCATCATTCATCTTCCCTCAGTAGGATCAGACCACTATCCTCTATTGATGGAAATGAATGCTAGAAGGGATGACCACATTAAATATTTCAAGTTTCTCAACTACTGCGCTGACCAACCTAACTTCCTAGACATTGTTCAAGCTTGCTGGGATAAGGAACTGGAGGGCAACAGCATGTGGAGGTTTCATCAGAAAATCAAAAGACTGGCCTGTACTCTCAGTGCTTGGTCTAAGGGAGAATTTGGTGACATTTTTATTAAAGTCAAGGAGTATGAAAATAGAGTTAAACTTGCTGAAGAACTCTTTATACAAACTAATACAGAGGAGAATAGAACTGCCCTACATGAGCTCAACACTAATTACATCAGATTCTTGAAGTTAGAAGAGTCCATTTTGAAGCAAAATACTCAACTCCAATGGTTTAAAGAGGGTGATAGCAACACAAAGTATTTTCACTCCTTAATAAGAGGGAGAAGGAGGAGATTATTCATACACAGAATTCTGAGAGAGGATGGTGAGTGGATACAAGGAGATGAAATTATTGCAAAGGAAGCATGTGATCACTTTCAGCATATTTTCACAGGAGAGGATAAATTCATCAATGAGGAGCCCCTTGACTATATTCCCAAAATGCTTAATCAAGAACACAATGCCATGCTAACTGTCATGCCTACTAATGAGGAATTAAAATAGGTGGTTTTTTCTATGAACCCAAATTTTGCAGCAGGCCCAGATGGTATGAATGGATGTTTCTTCCAGAAGTGCTGGCAGATTATTAAGCATGACCTATATGATGTCATATTGGCCTTCTTCAGTGGGTAAATGATTCCCAAATATTTTTCCCACTCTTGTATTGTGTTGCTGCCCAAAGTAAACAATCCAAATAAGCTTTCTGAATTCAGTCCCATCAGTCTTATTAACTTCACCAGCAAAATCATCTCTAAACTCCTCAGCATGAGACCGGGTCCTATCCTATCCAACCTGATTTCTCTTAATCAATCAGGCTTTGTCAAAGGTCGAAGCATATCAGAGAATATCATGCTAGCTCAAGAGATTATTCATCAGATTAAGAAGTCTAATCTAGGGAGCAATATGGTCATTAAATTGGACATGGCAAAGGCCTATGACAGGGTTTCTTGGTCTTATACATGTTTGGTCCTAAGGAAAATGGGCTTTGATGAGGTGTTCATTGATATGGTGTGGAGGATCATGGCAAATAATTGGTACTCACTTATTGTTAATGGGAAAAGATATGGTTTCTTTCAATCTACTAGAGGCCTGAAGCAGGGTGACCCATTATCACCTGCCCTATTTATTTTAGGGGCTGAGGTTCTTTCTAGATCATTGAACAGACTTCATAGCAATCCTGACTATCATGGTTTCTTTATGGAAAGGAGAGGCCCTCCAGTTAATCACCTTAGCTTTGCAGATGACATTATCATTTTTACCTCTGGAAGGAAAAAAGTCTCTTGAACTAATTATGCATATTCTGAATATCTATGAGGAGACTTCTGGACAGTTAGTGAGCAAAGATAAAAGCCATTTTTTGGTCCTTTCTAATGCCTTCAATAGCACTAAGGATAGGATTAAGAGGCTTACACGTTTAAAGCAAAAGGAGGGCCCTATTACTTACCTTGGATGTCCACTGTACACTGGCAGGCCAAGAATCATTTACTTTTCTGATCTTATCAACAAAGTAATCAACAGAATTACAAGTTGGAAGGTCAAAATTCTGAGCTATGGAGGCAGAAATACCCTAGTCAAGCATATGCTTCAATCCCTTCCCATTCACTTAATTTCTTCTATATCCCCCCCTTCTACTGTTATCAAACAAATACAAAGCCTTATGGCTGATTTTTTCTGGGGATGGAAAAATGGAAGGAAAAAATATCATTGGTCATCATGGAAGAATTTGAGTTTTCCTTATGAGGAAGGTGATATTGGTATGAGAAATTTGCAAGAAGTATGCATGGCATTTCAATATAAGCAATGGTGGATTTTTAGATCAAAACACACTCTTTGGGGGGAATTTTTGAGAGCTAAATATTGTCAAAGATCCAATCCTATCAGCAAGAAATGGGACACTAGTGAGTCCCTAATCCGGAAACACTTAATGATTAACAAACTGAAGATTAAGGAGCACATACACTGGAAAATCAATTCTGGAACTTGCTTCTTTTGGTGAGACAATTGGCTAGGAGTTGGCCCCTTAGCCAATTTCTCTAATAACAGCAACAGGTTCAACAACAGTAAAGTGGCTGACTTCCTGATTGAGAACCAATGGAATATGGAGATGGTGATTCAACAAGCCCCTCACAATATGGTAGCTAACATCGTAGATACTCACTTTCAATACCAGCAAGGAATCCCTGATCAAGCAGTGTGGAAACTTAATTCTGATGGAAAATTCACCTGCTCCTCTGCGTAAACCTTAAAACCTAAACCCTAATCCCCAAACCCTAAACCATAAACCCTAAACTCTAAACCCTAAACCCTAAAACTTTAATCCTAACCATAAACCCTAAATCTTAAACCTTAAAGCCTAAACCCTAAACCTAAACCCAAAACCCTAAACCCTAAACCCTAAACCTAAACCATAAACCGAAAACCCTAAACAATAAACCCGAAACCGTAAACCATAAACCATAAACCATAAACCCAAAACTCTAAACCATAAACCCTAAGCCCTATACTCTAAACCCTAAACTGTAAACCCTAAAACCTAAACCGTAAACAAAACCCTAAACCCTCAAACTTCCAGATCAATGGGTCTTGCTCAACAGTGACGGCAGTGCCGTGAGCAACCCAGGCAGAATAGGAGCAGGGGGTATACTAAGGGATCATACAGGGGAAATGGTACTAGCATTTGCCACTCCCTTAGGGGAGGGAACTAACAACCATGCCGAATTAGAAGCAGCTATTTTTGGGATGACATGATCTTTAGAATTAGGATACAAGAATATCCTTTTGGAAGTAGACTCACAACTTCTGGTGGATTGGATCGAGATCAAAACAAAACCCTCCACGGAGCATTAGCAAAAAGGTACAACGACTCCAAGCACTCACCAGGCAGGCACATGAATTCAGGTGTAAATATAGATACAAAGAAGCCAACTTTGTGGCCGATTCCCTTGCAAAACATAGTCACAAGTTCCCTAGCCCACAACTATACTTCAACATTCAAGAATTGCCAAAGAAAGCAAAAGCTTACCATCAATTAGACATGCTGGAAATGGAAAGCTTCAGGAGAAAGAAGATTAAGAGGATCAAAGAACCCCCATGAGGTTGGATACTATCTTTTCAACCTAGCTATAGTTTAAACAATTATAGCTTTTTTGAATGGGTATAGGTTTTCTTTCTAATTTGTAAAGGTAGAATCTCCCTAGTTTATGATTCCTAGATTCTTTGTATCGAGAGGAGTCCTCTCTTTTAGGTGCTTAGTTTCTTAATTTCTCCTTTTTTTGTAAGGGGATGAGTTGACTAACCTTGTATTCAGGTCAACAACTGAACCACCATAGGATCGGAGGTTAGGCTTATGTCCCCCTCCTTGTAATTTTTGCTTTATAAGTTAAGGCCTGGGGGTATTGCTTAATCCCCTGACCCCTCCAAGGGTCATTTTAAAAAAAACCCTAAACACTTAACCACCGACCCAAAACCCAAAACCCTAAATCCTAAATCCAAAACATTTAAGCAAAAACTCGAAACCCTATACCCTAAACCTTAAACTCTAGACTATAAACCCTAAGCCCCAAACCAAAGACCCTAAACCCTAAACCCTAAGCCTTAAACCCTAAAATCAAAACCCTAAATCCTAATCCTACCCTAAACCCTAAATCCTAAATCCAAAACCCAAAACCTGAAACCCTAATCCTAAACCCTAAACCCTAAACCCTAACCCATAAACCATAAACCCTAAACCCTAAACTATAAACCCAAAGCCCTAAACCAAACCTAAACCCTAAACCCCAAACCCTTAACCATAAACCCTAAACTCTAAACCCTAAACCCTAAACCCTAATTCCTAACATAAACCCTAAATCTTAAACCTTAAAGCCTAAAACCTAAACCCTATATCCTAAACCATAAACCTTAAACCCTAAACCTAAAACATAAACCCTACACCCTAAATAATAAACCAGAAACTAGAAACCAGAAACCCTTAACCCTAAACTCTAAACCCTAAGCCCTAAACCCTAAACCCTAAACCGTAAACCTTAAACCCTAAAACCTAAACCCTAAACCAAACCCTAAAACCTAAACCCTCAACCCTAAATCCTTAACCACAGACCCAAAACACTAAACCCTAAACCTTCAACCCAAAACCCGAAACCCTAGACCCTAAACTTTAAACTCTAGACTTTACACCATAAGCCCTAAATCGAAGACCCTAAACCCTAAACCCTAACCCTGAAGCCTAAACCCTAAATCCAAACATTAAACCCTACACCCTAAACCCTAAATCCTAAACTCTAAACCTTAAGCCCTAATTCCTAAAATCAAAACCCTAAATCCCAACCCTAAACACTAAACCTGATACCCGAAACCCTAACCTTAAACCATAAACCATAAACCATAAACCCTAAACCATAACCCTAAACCCTAAACCCTAACCCCTAAACCTAAAACCCTAAACCATAAAACATAAACCTTAAACCCTTAACCATAAACCCTAAACTCTAAACCCTAAACCCTAAACCCTAAATCCTAACAGTAAACCCTAAATCTTAAACCTTAAAGCCTAAACCTTAAATCTAAACCCTAAACCCTAAATCCTAAACCCTACACATAAACAATAAACCCAAAACCCATAACAATAATCTTGAAACCCTAAACCATAAACTATAAACCATAAACCCTAAACTCTAAACTCTTAACCCTAAACCCTATATCCTAAATCCTAAACCATAAACCTTAAGCCCTAAAACCTAAACCCTAAACCAAACCCTAAACCTTAAACCCAAAACCCTAAAACCTAAACCCTCAACCCTAAACCCTTAACGACAGACCCAAAACCATAAACACTAAAACCTTCAACCCAAAATCCGAAACCCTATACCCTAAACCTTAAACTCTAGACTGTACACCCTATGACCTAAACCAAAGACCCTAAATCCTAAAAGCTTTGAGTTCATTAGTGTTACTGAGGCTTGTGGTCTTGTGGATCTAGGGTATAGTGGTCAACACTTTACTTGGTGTAATCAAAGATCCAAGGAACATAGGGTGTGGAAGAGACTTGATAGAGCTATGGTGAATGATCAATGGTTGGAAAATATGCCCCAAAGTACCAACAACCATTTACCATCAGTTGGTTCTGATCATTGTCCCTTGCTTATGGAAGTGATGGTAAGAACTGAAAAATTGGCAAATACTTCAAATTTCTCCACTGTTAGACATATCATGCTGACTTTCAATTCATTGTTAAAGAGTGCTAGGATAGGGATGTTGAGGATAATCCTATGTACATTCTTCATCAGAAAATGAAAAGGCTATGTTCTTCTCTTAGTTCTTGGTCGAAAAAAGAGTTTGGGGATATTTTCAATACTGTTAAAGAGTATGAAGAAAAGGTCCAACAAGCTGAGGAAGAAGTCATCATCAACAATACCGAGGATAATAGAGCTAAACTCTATTATGTCAATGCACATTACATCAAATATTTGAAGTTAGAAGCTTCCATTTTAAAGCAGAAAACACAG